TCTTACTTTTATAATTTAACGAGCTAGATCGCGAATTCTCTTCTTAATAATTTAAAGTCTTTATAAAATTTCGAAAGTAAGTAGACCCTTAGATAGTAATTTCAGACTACTATAATAACTTATATTTTTATATCTTAAGAAATAACAATTTATATTTTTATACCTCTATTAATAATATCTTATAAATTTATATCTCGTTAAGATATGAAAATATAAGATAGAGTATAAATTTATAAGAATTATATAGTTTAAGATATGAAAATGTAATTTACTCTAAATAGTATATATATAAGATATTTCGTTAGAATTTCTATATTTAGAAGTATAAGTAGCTATTCTAGTTATCTAATTAATCTATTATGACTAATACTATTATAACTAATACTATTATAGCTAATACTATTATAGCTAGTACTATTATAGCTATTATATAATAGTAGACTATTTAAATAAAAAATAGTAATAGCTATAATAGTAATAGCTATTAAAATATTAGATATGTTATATATAGAACGAACGAATTAATTCTCTAAAATCTCTTCGAGACTAGATTCTAAATATAGTATAAAATTAGATGGCTAAAGAATATCGTAACTAGAATATACGAGAATTATATTTCGATAGTAGCTATAATAGTAATAGTTATAATAGTAAGTAATAGTTATAATAGTAATAGTTATAGTAATAATAGTTATAGTAGTAATAGCTATAATAGTATATCGAATGAGAGTAGATACGATTAGTCGTTAACTAGAATAATAATTAGAATAGCTACTTTATACTTCTAAATATAGAAATCTCAACGAGATATCCCGTCAAGATCCCGAATCCATACTAGAAAAATGAAATGATATTCGATTCTATTTATATTATACTCGAATACGGTATAATATTACTTAATATAAAATATTTTATAAAATATATTATATCTTTTCGACTAGTAAATTTAATAATTAGAAGTATAATTCGATAAGAATTTATAGTCTCGAGATATAATTCGATAATTAGCTCTTTCTCTATAATATTAAAGCTTCTAGTATTTAATAATATTAGATACTCGCTCTTTATATTCTATCTCTACACTTTAAGAAAAGATTATATATATATTCGAAAGCGTCTATTATAAGCATATCGCGCGAAGTATAATAAAGACTAATAATAATAGAAATAATTAATTTTAAAGAGTAAACTATATTAACTATTAGATTTATAAATCGAAATTATATTAACTATTATATATTAAAAATTAACTATCTTACTATTAATATATTAATAGTAAAGTAGTTATAATAAAAGCTAAAATATCGCTTAGTAAAAGAAGAGAAGAGAAATATCTATATAAAGTATTAAGCTCTATTAGTTCTATTTTAACTCTACTTTAATTCTATAAATATTAGTCTATTAGCTCTTTTAACTTAAAAATCGACTTTTTAAAAAGATTATTATAAACTACTTTACTATTAATTAAACTAGTTAATTTTACGATTAGAAATATATTAACTATTAATCGATAAATCTTAAATTATATTATTAACTACGAGAAACTAACGATTTTACTAGTAGTAAATTAGTTAATTAATTTATTATTATTAGCTCTAAGTATAATCTCTATAAATTATTTTCTATTTTATCTTAACGCCGATATATTATATTATAAGAAACTTCTATAATAAATTTATAATATAAATCTATTTAGATATTATTAGATCTAATACTATTATAGACCTTAGCGCTACTTACGTTAAGGCGCCGATATCGTATATATTATATTAGAGTTCTTTTTAGAGTCTAATTTTAATAATATACTCTATATATTTAGAGGCTTAACGAATATAAATCTACTTCGTATATCTCGAAGTTTTAATATTTCTTAAAGATTAATTCTATTATTAAATATACTATTAAATCTTATAACGATATTATATCTTTTATAGTTTATATTTACTAGCTAACTATTAATAGATTATATTCTTATAATTTTAATCTCTTTATCTTTTAAAGAAAAAGATCTATTATTATTATAATATCGAGTTTATCTTTAAATTATATAGTAGAAAATAAAGATAATATTAAAAGTCGCTATAGCGTCGATAATGAATTTAAGAATTTCTTATTAATAAAGAATCTTACTATAAAATAACGTCTTATAATCGTTAGAGTCGAAAATTATCGTCTAAAATAAGAATAAGAATTAGTTATATTAAAGGTTTATAATTATAAGCTTTATAATATTAACTTATCGTCTATAGCTAGCGAGAGTCTATTTATATCGATTACTATCGTATCTTTAACGAATATACTAATTAAAATAAAAATACTTCGCTTTAAAAGAATACGTTTTTATAAGAATATTAGTAAGAGAGAGTTATTAGAACTAGTATAGATACGATATTAGTATAAGTGAGATAGATAGAATAATAAGACTATCGAACTATATAAATGAAAAGAAGATATAATATAGTAGAGAATATCTTCTATTAAGATACTAGATTATAGAGCTAAGTAATATATTAAGAGTACGCTCGTAATACTATCTCTCTCTCTTAAATAGCCATAGCCTCTATAATTAATAGATCGAAGATATACGCTTACTACTTATCTTATATCTTTAAATATCTATAATTTCTATAGATCTTAACTAAAGAAGATTTATCGAGATATAGTAATATTACTAGATCGTATACTAGTCTTAACTATATTCTATCTATTATAATATATATTAGAGCGTAGACTATCTAGTAGTAAAAAGCTAGCTAAGTATTATAGAAATACTAAGAATATTACTATAATTAAATATATTTATAATACTATATTTAATTAATTCTTCGAATTCTCTTTATAACGATATCTAAGAAATAGATTATATCGTCGATTAATCTTAGAATATATAAGATTCTCTATAGTCTTATAATTATCGTATCGAATTATAGTAGATATCGCCGAGTAGATATATATATTACAATTAAATACTAATCGTTCTAAGAAGATTAAATAAGACTCGTTCTATATTTAAGAGTATATATCGTTAAGAGCGTTAAGTAACTACTTATAACGTACGTTATCGTCGTTCTCGTCGTCGTTATCCTTATAGTCGTCGTTCTCGTTATTCTTATCTTTACTTATAGTAACGATATCGATAATATCGTCATATAGCTTCAGAATAGTATTATATTTATAGAGAATCCGAGCGTTTTCTAGCTATTCTACCGTACCCCGAAGCTCTTTATCTCGCTGTTATTATTGAATACGAATAGAATTCTCGTAGTCTTTTTAAGTGGGGAGACTATAATCTCGATATAAATTCTATACGTTAAAGGTTAAACGTTATATAGAATCTTAATAGCGAAATTTAAGATTACTATATCGATAAGAAGAATTAAAGAGAAGTATAGTAGACGATTTATTAAAGCCTTCGAATATATATTAAAAAGATTTATAAGATATTATAGGCTGAGATTAATAGCGTATTATAATATTATAAAGTATAAGATCTCGATATTACTATAGATTTTATTAATTTCTCTAAAATTATAGCTAATTTTAAGAGCGTAATTAAGAGAGGATATACTCATTTTTCTATTATTAATACTTTTTTTAATAACGATTCGTAGTATATATAATAGTAGAAGAAGAGGTATTATAATTGAAAAGAGTTAATTAAGATATAATTTATAGAGATAGAATTCTTTTAAAGAAGAAATGAAGAGAGATAAAGATAAAGTTAAGATTACTAATAAAATTTGATATTCGTAGCTAAGAAATTTAGTTACTTCCCGAATAGATATCTAACTTTCTCGATTTAGATCTTAGTAGTACTTTTTAAAACTTATCGATAGAAAGAAAGCTAGCTTTTTAATTACTCTATAGAGATCTCGAAGATATAATCCATATCTTACCTACGTGCCAGCAAGATTCTTCGAGTTCTTCTTCTTATCTAGTCTTCTTATCATAGTTCTTCTTATTATAGTTCTTCTTATTATAGTCCTTCGATAGAATTAAAGAAAATTCAACGCATGCATTTACCTTTAATATCTTTTGATAGTCTAGTCTAAGAGCTTTACTATAGATTTACTCTATATCTCTTATACTCTTATTATTAAGTTTATTCATTTTATTCTTTATCTTAACTTATTACTAATTCGTAGATTTAATAGAAAGATAGAAAAGAATCGAATATATTAAATGTTATTTAATAGTAGACTTACTATATATATTATCGACATACTTAGTAAAGAGATTAAATCGTAGTCGTTTCGAGGCTATTCTCGTCGCCGTTATAGTAGACTTACTGTGAGTATAGAAGTATTTTAATAAGTTCTTTTCGATTCGCTAATTCTATAAATAGTTTAGCGATACTTTATTCCTTCTATTATTTAAAGGCCGTTTCGTTATATTAAAACGAATTATTCGTTTAATAGACTAACTTAAGAATACGATATCTTAAGTTTCTATCTTAATCTTAATCGATTATAATATTTTAATCTTAAGTTAATATCTTAATAAAGTCCTTATTAGCGCGTTTATTTATTAATTATTTATTCGCTAATTCGAATAAGCGTAAGTATACGTTAATTAGCTCGTATATATTTCTCTTCGTCGAATATATAAAGAAGTTTTATTATAATATTAGAATTAATATAGATATAATATTAATATAAGTAAGATAGATAGAATAATAAGGCTATTAAACTATATAGATAAAAAGAAGATATAATATAGTAGAGAATATCTTCTATTAAGATACTAGATTATAGAGCTAAGTAATATATTAAGAGTATACTCGTAATAAGAGTATCTACGCTAATTCCGCGAAGTCGAAATTAAGTGTTAAGGAATCATTATGGTTTGACTCATATATGTATGTGTTGTAAAAGATGTTGATTAATCTATGTGGTCTGCAGACAGATATGTGCGGTGCCAAGCCTACGCTAGTGGCCCTATGAGTATGCCTCAGGTATCTCATGACAATTGCCCACAAAAAACAGAGAAATGCCATGTCCTCATGGCAAGAAGTACGCATGCATGAATGAGTGAGTTTTCGAAATGCTGGAAAGGAATGGAGAGACCAGGCCAATTAGTGGTGTGAATCCCACGAGTTCTCCTGCCGCAGTGAAACCCCTCGAATAGTACCGGAGCAAGACATCAGACGGTTTCAATTCGTCCAAATATCCATCGTCCGATGTTCCTCTGCAGAGACCCAATTGGCCATAGTGATTTGGCTGTGACCGCCGCAGTAGGTCCTTCTCTTGTATCGTCATTGCAGTGATGTACCACAATGTGATATTGCCCAGGCATGCAGAGATAGCAGGCCAAATTGTAGTGTCGTTCTCCTGCTGAGTGGTGGTTTGACGTGGGAGCGTGGATAGCATATGACGTGGGATCTTGGAGAGCTGAGCCGTGTTCTTGGTGATGGTGGCCTTGTTGTCGCTTGCTTTCTCCGCAGTGCTCTCCGCAGTGTTCTCCGCATTTGCCTGTAGTGGTTCCTCCTCTTGCTGAGTGATTGGCTGAGTGACTTGCTGAGTGGCTGGCTGAGTGATTGGCTGAGTGACTGGCTGAATGGCTTGTAAGGCCTCAAGTCTAGCCCATTCTTGACGTATGTAGGCCGCTCGGTCTTGAAGGATTTTGGCTTGCGGTAGGAAGAATTGAGGGTCTGATTTGCTAGCCAATTGGATACATTCTTGAGCCTTGACGTCGTACTCCCATGGGTAGCATTCTCTTGTATGCCATGGGCCGTAGTACTCGGTGCGGTACTGCTCATGTAGGGTCTGCAGGAATGCTTGCATTGTGATATCGACAGGCCTATCAAAAGGATCGATTTGGACGTGGGTTTTGTCAAAAGGTACTCGATGACGCGAGTGTATGTGAGGACCGGCTTGGAGCGTTGCACTATTAGGTGTTTGATGCAGGCTTTGCGTAAACGTGTGGTGTAGACGTGGCTCGTAGAGAGACGTCTACTACATCATAGGATCAAGTGGAATTAGATCTTAAGGTGTTGCTACCAATTGTTAAGGAATCATTATGGTTTGACTCATATATGTGTGTGTTGTAAAAGATGTTGATTAATCTATGTGGTCTGCAGGCAGATATGTGCGGTGCCAAGCCTACGCTAGTGGCCCTATGAGTATGCCTCAGGTATCTCATGACATTAAGTTTCTTATAAGTTCTAAGTATTTTATTATTAATTAAATAAGAATTATTTATTATATATAGTTCTTAGAAAACGACTTTAATACTTAATAATATAAATACTATTAAATCTATAATCTAAGAAATATAACTTTTAAATTTTTTAAGTAATTTCTATTTAATTTAATAGCGGATTTAGTAAATTGCTATTTTCTTATTTATAAAAAGTGAAAGAAGACTAAATAACGCTTTAATTAGAAGATATCTATTTTTAAAATCTATCTAAAGAAGTTAGAGGTTTATTTATTTCTATTTTCTAAAAAGTATTAAATTAATTTCTTCTTAATTAAATTTAGACTAAAGCTTAAAAATAAGATCTTAAATATTAATAATATATCGAAATAATAAGAAGAAATTCTTATCTAGATTATTATATAGGAAAAGATTTTAGAATATATATACTTCGATAATAATTTTTATTTAAAGTTTTTAGAGGGGTTTACTAAGAATAAGTCTCTAAAAAATCGAATTTTAAAATCTAAATTGAGTTTAAACGACGGCGCTTATATAGCGCGTATTTAAGACGATAGCGTAAAATATAAAATTAAATTCTTTAACTCTAATTATAAGAAGAATAGTTATTTTTATTATAATAAATAAGATTATTAAATATCTAAATATCTAGATCTCGATAAATTATTTATTATTAATATTAATATAATATTAATAAAAAAAGATTAAGTCTTATAATCGTCTTAGAAGCGAGATAAGAATAATAATTAATAAAAATAATTTCTTCTATTCTTATAAAGGGATAGATAAAGCTTTAAAGCGAATAGAAGTAACTCGTTACTCTACTCGATATTAGAGTATATATTAATTTAATTTTATAAAAGTTTATAATTTAATAAAATTTAAAATTTTATAATATTATCTTATCGTAATTGAAGATATTAAATAATTAAAGTATATATTATTATAGCGCGTATTAGCTAAATTACTAGTTAATAGATAGTTAGAATTAAAATAAAAAATATAATATACTCTTTTATATTATTAACTAAAAAGGCCTTAATATTATATTAGATATATTCGAATTAAATTAATTATAAGTATTATTAAACTTAGCGATAAAGTAATAATAATTTAAAATTAATGCTAATAAATTATAAGTTAAAAAATTAATTAAATTTATTTAGATTATTAAATAGAAGTTAAATATATTTATAATTATATATATCGCGATAATACGAAGCGAATTAGAAAACGAGCGTAATCTAAAGCTTTCTTAAAAGTTATTAGAGTTTAATAATATTTTTTTTAATAAAAAAATAGAAATCTTATCTACGCTTAAGTAAAGAGATTATATTATTAAGATTAAAAGCGATAAAAAGTCGCTATATAATCTCTTATATAATCTATCTTAAATAAAGTTAGCGAAGCTATAACGCTATTTAAAGAACTTCTTTTAGAGAAATTAAATTCGCTATTTAACTTTCTTAGTCGAAGTATTATTTTTTTTTATTCTTAAAAAGAATAGAGGGCTTTATCTTTATATTAATTATCGAAGTCTAAACGCGATAACTATTAAAAGTTAATACTCGCTACTTCTAATTATTAAGACTCTAAATCGCTTATATAAGTTTAAAGTCTTTATAAAGCTAGATCTTAAGAATATCTATTATTAAATTCGAATTAAAAAAGACGATAAGTAAAAAATAGCGTTTCGTAATCGCTATAATTACTTCGAATATTTAATTATATCTTTTAAACTTATTAATATACTAATAATTTTTTAAATATATATTAATAGAGTTTTTATAAATCTAATAGATATAATATATATAATATATTTAAATAATATTCTAATTTATAATATTAATTTAATAAAGTATTAATAATATATTAAGTAAGTGCTTAAGCGTTTATATTAATTTTAACTATATATTAATCTAAAAAAGTATTAATTCTATATTAAACGAGTTAAGTTTCTAGAATTTATTATATCTATTAAAGATATTATAATAAATTAAAAATATATCGCTATTATTAAGAAGTAGCTAAAATTAAAAAATTATTAAAATATATAAGTCTTTTTAAGCTTTACTAATTTCTATTAATAATTTATCTATAGCTATTCTAGTATAATAGCGTTATTTACTAACTTACTTAAAAAAAATAAAAAAAATAAAAAATCTAAATTATTAAAGTAAATAAATAGCGCTAAGCTAATATTTTAATAGCTTTAAAACATTTTTATAACTACGCTATTTCTATATTATTACGATTTAAATTTAAAGCTATATCTTAAGACTAACGCTTTTAACTTCGATATAGAGATTATACTTTTATAATTAAATAAAAATAATTATTAATAATTAGTAGTATTTTAATTTAAAAAAAAATTTCTATAAAGTAAAATTATAAGATTTATAATTAAAAGCTACTCGTTATCGTAGTATCTATAAAATAATAATATTACTATTTAAAAGATAATACGTTTTATATTAAAATCTTAACGAATTAGAATAATTTTAAAAACTTTATAAAATAGAAGAAATTAAACTTTAGATAAACTCGTTAGACGCTAAAGTTAGCTATTTATAACTTTAAGATTTATTATTAAATAGATAAATTAAACTCTATTAACTTATTATTATAACGCTTTAATTATAAGAGAATATCGCTATTAAATATTAAACTACTATCGATATTATAAAATAAACTCGTACTTTAAACTAGCGGCGAGTAATTATAAAAAAATAAAGAGATTATAATAGCGATAGCGCTCGCATTTCGTATTATTAATATTTAAATAATTATTTTTAAAAGAGAGTCTAAAATCGTATAAGAGATTACTTATAACGTATTTTAAAGATTAATAAAAATATTAATTTAAGATCTATAAGTCTATAATAATTAAATAAGCTCTTTTTAAATTAATATTAATAAGCTAGCGATTAAGCGTCGCGTATATAATTAAGTATAGATTTTAGATTTCGAGAGATTATTAAAATATAATAGTCGTCTTTATATTTTTAGAAATAAGATCTTAAAAAAAGAGTTTATTAGTAAATATTATAATAATTCGTTATTTAGATACTTTAGCGCTACGAAGATATATAAACTACTTATTTATAAATATTATTAGAATAAGAGCTTAAAGCAAGTTATCGACTATATTAAGATATATAATATTTATTAATAAATTAAGACTTCGCGATATCGCCTCTACGACGAGTTAAGTTCGCTTCTTATTATTATTAAACTATAAAAAAAAAAATCTATAGATTTTATTACTAACTTATTAGCGAGTAAATATAAAAATATTATTTATAATACTATTCTAATTATAATAAATTAATTTATAAAAATAATAAGATATATTTCTATATTTATTACGATTAATATCGCTTAACTAATAAAAATATTTTATTCTAAAATAGTATATCGCTATAGTATATTAAATAATATTATTAATAATAGAGGCTCTATATTTATTAATAGCTTCTAATCCGCTATTTACTTTTATTCTAAAATTAAATAATATTTAAATATTACCTTTTACTCGTAAATTAATAAATAAATTAAGCGCTAAAATTAGATACTAGAATACTTCTTATATATATTTATTAATAATAAATAAAATATTTAAATAAAATAATTATTAATAGTAGAGTTCGCTTATATAAATAGTTAGTATTTCTCTATTAAAATAATATCGTTCTTTCTAATATATAGATATTATTTTAAAACTTATTAAGAGATTAAGAATAACTTTATTAAGAAGAAGATATTCGCTATAAATAATAGAGTAAAGAAGTTATAAATATTAAGAAATAAGATAATAAAGCGTTTTTATAGCGCTATTATAACTTAGTTTAAGTATTATAATAAAATATATTAATTTTAAAGCTATAAAATAAGCGATTTAATAATATTAGCAATTAAGAATCTAAAGTAAAAATATCTAAGTAAGAAGTTATCTTATAAATTTATAGAATTATTTTAAATTATAAATAAGATAGAAGCGTAAACGTATCGTCTACTTTTATTCTTAACGTATAAGATTTATAATATCTTTTATATATCGTTATTTAAATCTTATTATAATCGCGATTATAATAATATAGCGAATATCTTTATATAAATTTTTAAGCTTATTAATAATAATAAGCTTTAAAAAATTAAAGAAATTATTAATAAGATTAAGTATAAAAAAGACGTTTAGTATAAAGTTAAATAGATTAATTAAAGTAAAGAGTATAATTAATAACTATTAGATAATAAACTTATTAATATTAATAAACTAATCTAAGTCTATAAATAAATAGATAATAAATAAAAGTATTAAATAATAAATAATAAGTCTCTTATTATTAAAGAGCTTAATTAATTATATAGATTAATAATAAATAAGTAAAGATAATAAAATAAGATATAATTATTAATTAAATTAGATATATTTCTAGATAATACTTATACTATACGCGTAATTCTTTATATTTACTATTATTAAAATATAAATTAATAAAATAATTATATTATTTAGCTATCTATTAAACTCTACTATAAAAAAAGTTTATTATATTAAAATATATATTATTAATATAAATATATTTTTATCTAAGATAGTTATTAAAGAATTATTTAAAAA